TGCCAAAATAAGTGCCACTTAGCCCCCTATGAAGATTAGTGTCTTGTGTGAATGTTTGCCTAACACAAGCCATATTTCCTTTCTGAAATCAGTATTTTTTTACTTTGTGTTAATAATACTGTTATATTTTATTTAAAAAAAATTAGGTCAAGGCTCAAAACTGCGTGTGTAACAATATTTGAGAGAAAAAACTAATCTCTTGCATGTGATTAAATTCAGAATGTGTAGATCTTCTTTTTCTTTCCTGTCTCCTCTGTCCTGTGCAAGCATGCATATATATAAAGTTGTTTATGCATAATATATGTTTACCCTTTTGAATTCCACATGCACTATATGTTATTTATTTATATAGTGGAAAACACTTATGTAGTTTTATATATGGTAACTAAATGCTATAATAAGATTTGACCGACACAAACGCTACTTTAGATCATGAAACTTTTTCAGAACTGAGCACAGTTTGATTCTTATTTGTAAGATAGCCTACTTTGTACTTTAGCAGGTGGGCAAGTGTAGAATTCCTGTGAATTACTAATATTGTAACGTTTTATTAGTATTAAAATATAAATTAATATTAATATTTGTTATAAAAGACACTTATGAAATAAATAGCAACCCTCTGCATTTTAGGGGGGTCTACGCATGTCTATCAGAGTGTGGTAGGCGCTTTAAATAAATAAATAAACAAAACTAAATACTTTAAAGCATTTAACATTTTCCATATTAAAACAAAATAATAATTCTGAGTTGGTGAGCACTTGGAGTCATCCCACCTGCACAGAGGAATTGAGAGGTTTCCCCTGTGCAGAGTCCTACCTATGTGTGGTCCAAAGTCAGACACACTTACTAATTCACTCCCAGATGCTCGCAATTACTGACACACATCAAAACTCTAATAAATAAAGAATACATAATTATTCTGTTTAATTTTATTTTTCAGGACCCCAAAGACAGATTTTGGACAAATCGTACTTCTTAGGACTTCTTCGGTATGTGAGAAATATGATTTGCATGAAAGCATTCAAGATATGTTAATTTTACTGGGGAGGGAAGGGAAAGAAATTGGCTAATCTTAAAAAAATCCCAAGTTAAAAAAATATATTTCCTTTCAATACTTAATGAAAGGATTATTATACTCAAAGATATTTTAACCCCTTAAGGACACAACTTCTGGAATAAAAAGGAATCATGACGGAATATTTCTGTCATGTGTCCTTAAGGGGTTAAGGTGACAGTTGTCCTTTAAGGAACACTCCAGGCACCCTAATCACAACATTGTGCTGTAGTGGTTATGGTGATAGAAGTTCCTGGTACACACACACAATGTAAGCAGTAATTGCATTTTAGAATGGTTTGACTCCATTAAAGCAGACTTATGTAAATATTTTGTTATGGAGAAACAGACAACTTTATATTATCTGAAATGCAAAAAGTGCTTGAAAGGAAATAACATTATTGTAATGGTTTTATGCATTGCACAGTCAAATAACTCCAAAGTGTATTATTTCAGAAGCAGGAGAAATGTTGCATTCATGGATAGCTATCCAAGAACTTTTTTGTAAAGCTTAAAAGGACACTATAGTCACCAGAACAACTACAGCTTAATGTTGTTGTTTTGGTGCGTATAATCATTATATGCAGGCATTTCCATGCAAATACTGTCTTTTCAGAGAAAAGGCTATTTTTACATCACCCCTAGGGACACCTCCAAATGGCCACTCCTCAGATGGCCACTGAATGTGCTTCCTAGGGCAGTGCTGCACAGGAGGTAGCACTGCCGTTCAGTGTCCCCATGCATGAGGACGCTGAATTTTCCTCATAGAGATACGTTGATTCAATGCATATCTATGAGGAGGTGCTGATTGGCCAAAACGGCGTTTGGCCCAGCCCCCATCCAGCCTCCTTGCCGATTTTAGCCAATCGCATTGAATTGGCTAAAAATCTGCAAATATGACAATGTCTCCAAGGAGGCTATTGCCAGCTCCTGTAAGTTGTATATAAGAGTGGTGGCCATTTTTGGTTCAGCATGAACAGGTCTAGTACCCCCTACTCACTTGCTCCATAAGTCAAGAGATAAGCATGCAGTTGTTTATTGGGACCATAGCCGTTAGCAAGCCATTTTAGCAAAATCTAGGTCACACAGTGTCAGAAGGCTAGATTTCTTTTATGTCTCAATGCAGAACTTAATATTTGAAGTCCTGCACAACTAGCCAGGCCTTAAAAGTTACTTGCCAGTGTAAGCCTGGAGGGACCATGGCACACTCACCAGTGCTGAATTTCTACTGTACATGGCTAAATTTTCAATAATCTATTGGCGAGTGAAAACATTTGCCTGGTTAGTAAGAATCTGTGTGATCTGTGCAATGTGCATCTTTCTATATTACTGAGTGATAATGATTTTTATCTCCATTATCTATTCTGTTGCAAATATTTATATATGGCCTGCACATTCATTAATTGCAGGAGCAAGGTTACTGAGCTTACAACAGAAATGAGCAAACTAAAAAAAGAGATTGACAACTACAACCAGGAGAATTCTGTGTATCTATCTTATGAGAAAAGGTAAGTTACCTGTATTTATGTATGCATATGTGTAGATTGTAAGCTCTTTTGAACATGATCTTCATCAACCTATTATTTCTATAACATTTTGTGATTGTCTCATTTATTGTTTCATTTCCACCTATATAATATTGTAAAGCACTGCAGAATAAGTTGACCCTAAATAAATGCCAATAATAATATATCTTACTACTGCATATTCTATTTCTTTCACAGAGAAGTAAAGCAACATTTTGATATTGCAATCAATTTTTCATCTGTTTT